CATCAGAAAATCAATTACTATGATTTCACATAGTAGTAGAGTAGGAAAATCATATCATGAAAGGTAGATAAAAAGTGGCAAAATTCAGTATGTATTTATGGCATAAACTCTAAGCAATCTTGGAATCTGACATGGAATCTCCAAAGCCCCAGATCAAAGATATCTTTAACAATGAAATGCAGAATGTATTTCTTTAGAGATCATGAACTACACAGGGGTATCCACTATAATTATGCCATGGCAAACTTTTATTAAATATTCTGGCCAAAAGATTAAACACAAGGGGGAAAAAGGTATCAGGGTTGGAAAGAAAAATGTGTCATTACACCTAAGTACAGCTGACCCTTGAACAAGATGGGTCTGAACTGTGCAGGTCCACTTATACGTGGATTTTTTCCAATAAATATATTGGAAAATTTGGAAGAGATTTGTAACACTTTGAAAAAAACTCACAGAACGACCACGTAGCCTAGAAATACAAAAAAAAAAACTAAGAAAGGGTTAGGTATGTCATGAATGCATCAAGTATACAGATACTAGTCTAGCCTTATATAGGTATAAGGTGAGTGCTATTTAGTAATAAAATTAATAATGTGTTAGTTTTCCTACTGTTTTATAACTCTGCTTTCAAAGAATTGCATGACCATACAGTATGACCACCCCTCTCCAGTATGCCTTCCTCTCTCTCTCAACTGCAGAAACTATGAGTCTATCGCCACAGGTAAATACTTTTTAAAAAATGTAACAATGTTTCTAATACTGTATTATGAATATGATTAATACTGTATGCTATAAAAATTTTATAACCATTCATTAGCATATATGCTAAACTACTGTGACACAATTGTATCAATTACACTAGATTGTTATAAAGCATTCATATTGCTGCTACTTCATTACCAATGCATGAATTGTTATACTAGTAAATAAAAATGAATTTTTTCACATTATCTCTTCATTTCTGATGTCCAGTGTTAGTAATACATATAATACCCACAACGTTTTGTGTCATTAAGACAATACTGACGTAGGTATTGATAATTTATCTTGTAAACAGACAATGTAAATTTATGATATCAATAAACACAGTATACAGTGTAAATGTATTTTCTCTTATGATTTTCTTAACATTTTTTCTAGTTCATCGTAGGAATATAGTCTATAATATATATAAAATACAAAACATGTGTTAATTGACTATGTTACCATTACCAGTAAGGCTCCAATTAATAGTAGGCTATTAGTAATTAAATTTTGGGGAAGTCAAAAGTTATATGTGGATTTTCAACTGCATAGTGGGTGGGTCAGAGGGGAGGAGAGGTTGGGGCCCCAACTCTCACGTTGTTCAAGAGTCAACTGTATTTTAAACTGAATGAAAATGAAAACAACACAGCAAAATTTGTAAGATATAACTAAAGCAGTGCTTAAAGGGAAATTTTTAACATGAAATGCCTACATTAGAAAAGAAGAATTTCAAGTTAATGGCCTCAGCTCTCATACTAAGAAACTATGAAAAGAGCAAATTAAAATCAAAGTATGTAGGAAAAAAAGGAAATAATAAAGATAAAGGCAGAAATCAATGAAATAGAAAAGACAAGAAAAAACAAAACAAAAAACTCGCAAGAGTTGTTTTCTTAAAATTGATAGATTTTTAGCCAGACTACTGAGAAATGAAAACAAAAATTACCAATATGAGGGAAAATGATATGACATAAGGTATTAGAAGGACAATAATGGAATATAAACAACTTTATGCCAATAAACTTACCAATTTAGACAAAATGGGCATATTCTTAAAAAGACACAAACTACCCATACTTTTTCAAAAAGAAATACAGAATATAAATAGCCCGGTATCTATTAATACTAAATTTGTAGTTAAAAACCTTGCCACAAAGGTAACTCCAACAAGATTTGAGATCTCAAAAAAAATTTTTTAAGGAGAGGGAATTAAGCCTACCATATAACTAACAACTACTGCATAAATCAAAGAATAGGAATAGGAAGGAGGAGGAAGGTAGAAGAGAAAAAAAAAGAAGAGGAAAAGGGGGGAGGAATGGAAACAAAGACCTCAAGTGTAAACTTTAGGACCACTTTATTAAACTTAATCCCTCCTTTTAGCTCACACACAAAAAGCAAACTTTTATTTCATTAGCAAATAAGATAAATACTGCAAAAGGAGGTTTTCTTTAAGTATTTCCTGTTCTTAGGTGATTACTTTTGCCGATCATCACTGGAGTCTACCTTTTTCCCCTGGCATTGTCAGACAGGAAGCAGCAATGACTGGTTCAAGAATCACCTCTAATGAAATTAAATGTAAATGTAGGGATGTTTCTAGGCAAATAGGAAGCTTTAATAGGAGAAATAAGTACAGCCCAACACTTTCTTAAAATGTAGACCATACTTGAAGAAGGGCACACTAATATACCAAATATACTAAAAGTAGTTTTTGTTTCCTCCATTTATAAGAAACTTGGAAGATGCTTTTGATTCCCTAGACTTTCCTATATAGCAGGCAGCCTTTTCTGCTATGTTTTCAATGGAGCAAAAGTCAAAGAACTCTGCAGTGTTTACTTCCTTATTTGTCCAACAAAATCATCATCAGTGAAGTCAGCAGCAAACCGATCCTGTAAGGAATGTTTATTAACTAAACACTGTTCCAAGCCAGTGAGAAGTACAAAAAATATGAGTTGGCTGTAAGTCTCAAGAATAGGTAACACCAATTTCCTTAAACTCGGTTCCTTCCTAGAGTCAGAAGGATAACTCAAGTCTCTGCAGTAGCAGGGTTGCACATGATTTTAATAGCTTCTCTTTAATGAGTATATTGCTAAAGAGACAGTTTCAAAACCTAACTGTTCTTAATCTAATGATTATGTAAAGTTGCTAGTGGTTTTTGTTATTTTGTTGTTTACCTTAACAAAATATTAAACGTCTTGAAGATTTAAAACAAGACGCACAAAAAAAAACTCCATAAAATTAGATGTGCCTTCTTTATCCTATAAGGTTAAAAAATACAGAATTCATTCTCAGAAACATACATACACACATATATATGCTTTCACTAGTGGCATTTTGATGGTTTAGTAAGAGACTAATTATCCTATATGTTCCATGTGGGTATACTCCCAAGTATATTCTACTTCAAACATAGTAATCATTTATTTGCAAGTATCATCATCAATTAAGTAAGCAGTAATAATGTACAAGGCTGAGAGGTAGGTTTGTTATTATAACACAATGGATCTGGAAGCAATTAATTTTAAGTTAACTCTAAATTTATAAACTCAAGGAAAGTAGTACTTCAGTGGTAAAATAGTCAACCAACATAAAAAAATGAGAACCTAATAATAATGAACAATAGTAAAAGGGTTAAAATATATAAAAGCAGAGCACAGAGAAAGTTTATTATTCCTTATTTCTTTCTATAAAAAGAACAGAATTTCTATACACCTTTGTATCATTCCACAAGTTTCATATTGAGCATTAAGCTGCTTTCACTTATAATGCTTCTGACACCAAATGAATGGGTCTTCTCCTTACACCAAGCATTTCTCCTATTCCCTGACAAAAACTAGGCATCTAACAATTCAATTCTGATACTATCTACTTGGAGTTAGATCTCACAAGTTAAAAGGGCTCAGTCCCACAAGACTATCACTTCAGATGCCAAATGCAAGTCCCAAGCCACTGTACTTCTGACCTACTGGCGATAAACTGGGAGTCTCCCCAACCCCCTCAGGTTTGATAATTTGCTATAGTAATCACAAAATTCAGAAAAGCACTTTACTTACTATCACTGGTTTATTATAAAGAATATAATTCAGGAACAGCCAAACAGAAGAAAGATGTAGGGCAAGGTACTGGGGAGGGTGTGTATATGTGTGTGTGTGTGGCTTCCATGCCTTCTGCAGGCATGCCATCCTCCCCCGCAACTTCATATGTTCACCAAACTGGAAGTTCTCTGAACTCCACTATTTAGGGATTTTTTTTTGGAGGTTCTACTATGTAGGGATAATTGATTAAAACATTAGTTTATAGGTGATTGAATATCATCTCTGACTCCTCCCTCTCTCCAGAGGTCAGGAATGGGATTGACAGTTTCAACCCTCTAATCACATCGTTTGGTCTTTCTGTAGATCTGAAGCTATCTAGGACCCCAGCCACCAGTCATCTCAGCATACAAAAGACCCTCCTATACTCCACAGATCCTGAGGGGTTTAGGAGCTATGTGCCAAGAAAAGAAAAAGATTGAATTTTTTTTCTCATTACCACAAGCATCTGTTCTGTTCTTTGTTACTATTAAAGTATAGGAAATTTTTTAAATGGATGCCATTCTACACAGCAACAACAGAGTTCCTTTTTTAAAAATAACATAACATACAAGACCTTAAAAATTCAATTAGTGTCATCCTCTAAAACATTTACTTTGGGAGATTATGTTATGTTCTAATACTGACATCTCTTCTGAAACCAGATTATAGGCCACCCAAGAAAATCAGCGATTATGTCACATCTACATCACACAGATGATATTTCCAATACAAATCTCCTCATTCATTGTAACAGTAAGCTAATAAAATTTTTTGGCTTATCCAATTACTCCCTATCCTGCCCCAAAATTATACTATTTTTTAAAAATGACAATTTGCTGTTAACAAAAATATGTAAAGGAGCATTAAAAGTCTTTTTCTAACATGGTTCAGTGACAGTCAATGTTAGCATTCCTAAGTGCATGATTTTCCAAGGTGACAACTTAGATTTTGATATGTGAGTTCAAGTATGTTTCTTTTTTGTTTTTCAAGTCCCATTACATCATAGATCTGTCTTACATAAAAGCAGTGCCTAATTCAAGGAGCTAACATCTTTACAGAGTAAAAAGATGGGTAGAGGGACAGTAGGGAAGAAAGAAATAAACTAGTAACTGGCATAAACGTACATTCTTTAAAAAAAAAACTTTCTTGTATATACTTAAAATACAAATATACATGTTTATGACATACCATTTACAGCTTTTTCAATCAATTCTTCACAAGCATCAAAATCACCCTTCAATACCAATTTATCGTGCAGATCTGTTAACATGGGATGCTCCAGGGCAATCTTGGTTTTCTTTTGCAGTGATTCAAAGGCCTCTGTATAGTTATGTTGTCTGAAGTGTTTTAGGCAAAGGCGAATGGCTTCCTGTTCACGGTACTACTGGAACACAAGAGAAGTTATGTAAAGAAGAGATTTGGTTAGTTACTACTGTAGGAAACAATAAGTGACAATTACTAACATAAAGTCAGTATTTACTAAGCATTAACTAAGCATACGAAATATAATTAAGCATTGTACTAATGCTATTCATTAGTATCATGATTATTTCCATTATTAAATGGCAAAACTGAAGCTTAGTAAATTATGATAACTTGTCAAAGGTCACAAAGTATGTAGCAGAAAGATTTTAAAGAGATGAAGATACGAATTTACATACTATCTAAAGCATCTGATAACTTTTATAACTGTGGCCTCAGGTAAAATACTTAACCTCTCTGTGCTCCACTTCATCATATGTAAAATATGGATAATAACTGTACCTATGTCATAGAGTGGCAATGAGTAAATAAGTTAGAAAGGTGTTTAGAACTGACAAAACGTAAATGTTTAATAAGTGTTGATTAATCTTTATAATTATTATTACTACTGTCAATGTTTTAAGTTATTCTCAGTGAAGACAATAGATTGACACAATTCTCTCTTTAATGTATGCACCTGAAACATAAAATCAGGACTTTAAAATACAGTCCTACCTTGCTATACCAGTTGAGACAAGGTTGTACTACATCGGGATCATCAATGCCACTAAGTTCAACATACCAGATGCTAAAGTTAAAGCTGGGTCCCCATGATAAGAGTGGAACTTTGAGGAGGAAAAGAGAAATAAAAAGGAAAAATTAACATAGTTCAAATAAAATTTTAGTGAAGTCAAGTCACTATTCAAGTTTATTAGGAGTCACTCAACAAATTTTCTGGATATCTTCTGTACACCCAACACTGTACTATTAGGTTCTGGGGCTACAGTAGCAAAAAGAAACATGATTCAATGCCATCATGAGGTTGCTTTAATGATGAAAACACCAAAGATAAATTCAAACTGGTCGTTTATCCTCCAAAAAACAGGCCTAGGAGACTAGATAAATTTAGAAAGCAAATTTTACCAAATCCACAAGAAACAAATAATTACAAACAATATTAATTTCAACTATATTAGCATAGAAAGAGACTGAAAGTTCAATTACTTATCAAAGTGGCATAACCCTGAAAACAAAACCAGAAGAAAAAGGATTTAAGGCCAATCTCAGCTGAGTACATATTCAAAATTTAAAAAAAAAAAGTTGCAAAAAAATTCTACCAATTTATCACTGTAACTAAACAGCTCATTTGAGGAATGGAAGGATTGGTTCAGTAGGAGCAATATTAATGTAACTCACCATGTTAACAGAGGAACATATTTGATTACCTCAACAGATGCTAAGAGTAAACTAATAAAATTTACTTTAAAAAATCTCCTGGATTTCTGGTCAAGATGGTGGAGGAGTAGGACCAGAAGTTCGCCTCCTCTCAAGATCACAACAAAACCACAACTGACTGCTGAGTAACCATCAATAAAAAAAGACAAAAAAGATCTTCAACTGGAAACATAAAGAGGGAACCTGGGATGACAGGAGGGCATGCTCATGAGATAATAATAGGACCCCCTTACCCTGATGGGTGGGCAACCCACAAGCTGGAGAAAAATTACATTGCAGAGGCCCTCCCACAGGAGTGAGAGCTGTGAGCATCACATCAGGCTCCCCAGACTAGGGTTCTGAAACTGGGAGGAGGAGACCCCAGAACATCTGGTTTTGAAAGCCAGTGGGGCTTACTTGCAGGAGCTCCATAGTACAGAGACTTCATTTTCTTGGGAAGTGCACTAAGAATCTTGCATGCACCAGGACCAAAGGCAGAGGCACTGATTTCATAGGAACCCAGGCCAGAACTGCCTGCTGGTTTTGGAATGTCTCCTGGGGAGGTAGGGGGCAGCTGCAGCTCATCCAGGGGACATAAGAGGCAGGGGTGGACATTCGAGGAATGTTCATTTATATGAGCTTTCCTGGAGACTGGCACCTTGCTTGGGTCACTGGTGCTAAGACATGGCCCCACTCAATAGTTTGTAGGTTTAAGTGCTGGGAAGCCTCAGGCCAAACAGTATACTCAGTGGGAATGCAGCCCCAACCATCAGCAGATTTCCTGAGCCCACAGCCACCTCTAGACACACCCCTAGACACAGCTCTGCCCACCAGAGGGCCAGGACCCAGCTCTATCCAGCAGTGGGGCAGGTACCAACCCCTTCTGCCTGCTGCACAAGCCTCTCGTCCAGCCTTACCCACCAGAGGGAAGATACCAAAAGTAAGAAAACAAAATTTCAACAGCCTGTGGAAGGAGCCTGCAAAGACAGGCCAGACTATCCTGGGATGAGCTGGACCCTGGCCCTTAGATGACAAATAGTGCCCTGCTGGAATGCATAGGAAGTCTCATACAGAGGACCACTTCTCCAAGGTCGAGCATCGAAACTAACCTACATAAAAATATAAATAGAAATTCAGACAAAATGAGATAGCAGAGGAATACGTTCCAGGCAAAGGCACAAGATACAATCCTGGAAGAAGAAATAAATGATGAGGAGATAGGGAATCTATCCAAGAAAGAGTTTAGAGTAATGATTGTGCAGGTCATCAGAGAACTCAGGAGAACAGATGAACAGAGTGAAGTTTTTAGCAAAAAGTAAGAAAATATAAAGAAGAACACCCAAAATAAGTTGAAGAATACAATTACTGAAATGAATAATACACTAGAAGGAGCCAAGAATAGACTACACGAGGCAGAAGAACAGATCAATGAGCTAGAAGACAGAGTAGTTAAAATCACTACTGTAAAACAGAAAAAAGAAAAAAGAATGAAAAGAAATGAGGATGGTTTAAGAGACCTCTGGGACAACATGAAGCACACTAATATCTGCATTATAGAGATCCCAGAAAGAGAAGAGAGAGAGAAAAGACCTGAGAAAATATCTGAAGAGATAATAGCTGAAAACTTCCCTAGATTGGGAAACAGTCACTCAAGTCCAGAAGTGCAGAGACCCATACAGGATTAACCCAAAGAGGAATATGCTGAGGCACATAGTAATCAAATTGACAACAATTACAAATAAAGAGAAAATATTAAAATCAGCAAGAGAAAAGCAACAAATAACATACGGAACTCCCATAAGATTATCAGCTGATTTTTCAGAAGAAACTCTACAGGCCAGAAAGGAGTGGCACAATATATTTAAAGTGATGAAAGAGAAAAATCTACAATCAAGAATATTCTACCCAGCAAGGTTTTCATTCAGATTTGATGGAGAAATCAAAAGCTTCACAGATAAGCAAAAGCTAAAGAATTCAGTACCACCAAACCAGCTTTACAACAACTGTTAAAGGAACTTCTAGGTAGAAAAGAAAAGACCACAACTAGAAACAAGAAAATTACAAAATGGGAAAGCTCACTGATAAAGGTAAACATTCAGTAAAGGTAGGAAATCATCCACACACAAACAGGGAAGTTGAAAGACAAAAGTAGTAAAAATCATCTGTATATACAACAAGCAGTTAAAGGATACCCAAAACAATTAGATGTAAAATATGATATCAAAACCTATAATTGTGAGAGGAGGAGGGTATGAATCCAGGACATCTAAAATGCATTTGAAATTAAGAGATCAGCAACTTAAAACAATCATGTGTATATATAGACTTCTATACCAAAACCTCATGGTAACCCCAAATCAAAAATCTATAATAGATATACACACAAAAAAGAAAGAGGAATCTAAATGTAAAGCTATAGTCATCAGACTACAAGAGAACAAAAAGAAGGAAAAAAGACCTACAAAAACAAATCTAAAACAACAAAATGGCAATAAGAACATACATATCAATAATTACCTTAAATGTAAACACTCCAATCAAAAGACAAATTACAGGCCAATGTCACTTACGAATATAGATGCAAAAATCCTCAACAAAATACTAGTAAATTAACTCCAACAATGAATTAAAAGGATCATACACCATGATCAAATGGGATTTATTCCAGGGATGTAAGGATTTTTCAATATCTGCAAATCAATGTGATACACAACATTAACAAACTGAAGAATAAAAACCATATGATCATCTCAATAGATGCAGAAAAAGCTTCTGATAAAATTCAACATGCATTTATGATAAAAATTCTCCAGAAAATGGGCACAGAGGAAACATACCTCAATATAATGAAGGCCATATATGACAAACCCACAGCTAACATACTTAATGGTGAAAAGATAAAAGCATTTCCTCTAAGATCAGGAACAAGACAAGGATGCCCACTCTTGTCGCTTTTATTCAACAGTTTTGGAAGTACTAGCCACAGCAATCAGAGAAGAAAAACAAATAAAAGGAATCCAAACTGGAAAAGAAGTAAAACTGTCACTGTCTACAGATAAAATGATACTATATATAGAAAATCTTAAAGCTGCTACCAGAAAACTACTAGAGCTCATCAATGAATTTGGTAAAGTCCCAGGATATAAAGTTAATATATAGAAATAAGCTGCATTTCTATATACCAACAAAATAGCAGGAAAAAAATTAAGAAAAGAACCCCATTTACCATCACATCAAAAAGAATAAAATACCTAGGAATAAACTTAACTAAGGAGGCAAAGGACCTGTACTCCAAAAACTGTAAGACAATGATCGAAAGAAACTGAAGATGACACAAACAGATGGAAAGATACACCATGTTCTTGGATTGGAAATGTCAGTATTGTTAAAACTGCCATACTACCCAGGGCAATATACAGACTCAATGCAATCCCTATCAAATTACCAATGGCACTTTTCACAGAAGTAGAACAAAAAAATTTTTAATTTGTATGGAAACAGAAAAGACCTCCAATAGCCAAAATAATCTTGAGAAAGAAGAATGAAGCTGGGGGAATCATGCTCCCTGACTTCAGACTATATACTACAAATCTTCAGTAATCAAAACAGTGTGATACTGGCACAAAAAAACAGACACACGGATCAATGGAACAGGGTAGAAAATCCAGAAATAAACTCATGCACCTATAGTCAATTAATCTATGACAAAGGAGATAAGAATACACAATGGAGAAAAGACAGCCTCTTCAATAAGTGATGCTGGGAAAACTGGACAGCTATGTGTAAGAAAATGAAATTAGAACATTCTCTAATACTATTTACAAAAATAAACCCCAAATGGACTAAAGATCTAAATGTAAGACTGAACACTATAAAACTCCTAGAGGAAAACAAGGGTAGAATACTGTTTGACATAAATCACAGCAATATTTTTTGGATCAGTCTCCTAGAGTAAAGGAAATAAAAGCAAAAATAAATGGGATGTAATTAAACTTCTACTCTTTTGTACAGCAAAGTAAATCATAAACAAAATGAAAAGAAAACCTACAGAATGGGAGAAAATATTTGCAAATGACGTGACCAACAAGGGACTAATTTCCAAAATATACAAACAGCTCCTACAGTTTAGTATCAAAACAAACAAACAAACAAACAACCCAAACAAAAAATGGGCACAAGACCTAAACAGACATTTCTCCAAAGAAGACACCTGGATGGCCAAAAGGCACATGAAAAGATGCTCAATATCACTAATTATTAGAGAAATGCAATTCAAAACTACAATGAGAGATCACCTCACATTGGCCAGAAAGGCCATCATTAAAAAGTCTACAATAAATGCTGGAGAAGGTGTGGAGACAAAGGAACCCTCCTACACCATTGGTGGGAACGTAAATTGGGTGCAGTCATTATGGAGAACAGTATGGAAGTTCCTTAAAAAACTAAAGAGACTTACCATATTGTCCAGCAATCCCACTTCTGGGCATATATACAGAGAAAACTCTAATTCGAAAAGACACATGCATCCCAATGTTCATAGCAGCATTATTTACAAAAGCCAAGGAAACAACCTAAATGTCCACTGACAGATGAATGGATAAAGAAGCTATGGTATATATACACAATGGAATACCACTCAGCCATCAAAAAAGAATAAAATAATGCCATTTGCAGCAACATGGATGGACCTGGAGATTGTCATTTTAAGTGAAGTAAGCCAGAAACAGGAAAAAATACCACATTACATCGCTTGTATGTTGAATCTAAAAAAAGACACATGAACTTATTTACAAAACAGAAACAGATTCACAGATATAGAGAACAAACTTGTGGTTATCAGCAGGTAAAGGGGGTGGGAAAGGAGAAATTGCAAATTCAAGATTTGCAGATACTAACTACAATATATAAAATAGACAACAAGTTTATAGTGTACAGCACAGGGAACTATATTCAATATCTTGTGGTAACCTATAATGAAAAAGAATATCAAAATGAATATATGTATGTATATGTATGACTGAAACATTATGCTGTACACCAGAAATTGACACAACATTGTAAACTGACTACACTTCAATAAAAAAGAATGTAAATTTAAAAACTCTAAATACATAAGAAATGAAGGGAAAAAAACCCCACTTCATTGCCCTGATTTTTTTTTTTTGGAAGTATGGTTGGTTGATTTATCATTATTGAGATTTTAAGCATCAAAAATCTCAACAACAACAAAAAAAACCTAATGGAGAAACACTGAGTATTCCCATTCAAGTCAGGAACAAGATAAAGAGGCCAAATAATCTCTATTTAACAGTATATGGGAGATCTTAGCCAATGAAATTATGAAAAAAAAAGCAAATTAAGAAAAAATATTATCAAAGATGAAACATCTACCTAAAAAATTAAACAGATTTAACTGAAAAACTTTCAACGTCTGTATGCAAGGTAAGTATATGAAAATAACTTTCCCTATACCTATAAAAACCAAGTAGAACATATAATGGAAAAAGTCTCCTTTATAATAGTAAAAAAAGCTTAAAATACCTTCGAATAAACTTTAAAGTATGCAATATCTACTTAAGAAAATAAAAAATTTTACTTAAGAACTGAATAAATGAAAGGTCCTAATAGTTTCTAGATGGGAAAACTCAATGTTGTAAATATGGAAATTCCCTTCAAATTAATTACAAATTTATTATAATCTCAAAATCCTTATGGTATATACCCTTTTTATTCTTGACATGTAGCTGGACAAGCTGATCTGAAAAAAAAATCAGAACAAGAATATCAAAAATTATAAAACAGTAAGAAAATAAACATACTAAAAAGATACAATAATTGTAAGTTTGATATTAGTGAAGGAAAAGGAAATAAAAATCACTGGAGCAGAAGAGTGTATCCAAAAAATCCCTCAAGGATCCAGAGGAATTCAACATAAGATGAAGATAACATTTCATATTAGTAATGACAGGACAGAGTAGAAGTTTTTAATGTGTGATCCATGGGCTCCAGGGGAATCCCTACAACCATTTCAGGAGGTTCCATGTGGTCAAAACTATTTTTCATAATACAACTAGGACTTTATAACCTTTTTTTTCCCAACTGTACTGACATTTGCACTCATGGTGCCAAAGGTAAAACTGCTGACACCTTGGTAGCGCCACAAAAAGTAGTAGCATGCAGGTGTTCTCGTTTTCCTTAATACAGTATGAACTGAACTCTATTTCTCACCACCATATACCTGTAGTTAAAAAAAAAAGGCAATTTATTTAAGAATGTCTCTGATGATATGTAAAATTAATTTTAATAAATCTCTATAATTAAGTACATATCTTTTCAATATTTTGCATGACAAAATGGAAAGGACACATAAAGCACTTCTGAAGCATACCAAAGTATGATGGCTGTCTCAAGATAAAGGACCTGTATAGCTGTCTGAGTTGTGAGCTGAAATAGGCATTGAGAGAGCCCAACAGGGTACTACTTTTCCTTAAAAGAAAGTCTGACAATCTATGATTATGTGGGAATTGGCCAGACATTTATTTGTCATTTCAAGGGTAACAAAATGAAGTATCTGCTGCCAAGGATAAAATTCAAGCTTCTGAGGAATAGCTAGAATTTCGGAAAATTGATATCCACCACAGTGAGCTTAACTACTTCCTAGTACTTAAGAGTTTTATGATGAGATTGGTGCTGAGATTAACAAGTGTAATTTTCTTTATATTATATAATGAAATGCTTCAACATTTGAAAGATCTGCATAACTCAGTGAACCATATTTTCTAAATGACCAATGAATGATATTACAAACTCATGCATGGCTAAAAGATTTGATTCAAAGTGCAAGACAGGCCAATAGATTCTAATATAACACTGACATGGTTCAGACTGAGTAATGCAACTATCATTAAGAAACGGACACTTTTCAAGCTTTGATTAAGTATCAAAACAGAATATTCACAATATCTGATATCAGGTCTACTGATTTCCAAGTCCACTGCTCTTTCCAGCATATCACACTCAAGAAGAGCTTTCCTATATTGTCATCTAAAGGAAGATACATGAATAAACACAGAAGCAGTAAGAACCAGTCATTGGAATATATGAAGGACCTCTGTAATGTTTAATATGCCCTTCAGTTTACATATGCAAACAACAGAAATTTCAAAAGTTTTCTTTACCAACTAACACCAAATTATCATCACTATTTTGGTGCTGATTTCTTCATGTAGCAGTACCATTTAAAAAATGTATCTCCTACATCACAGCAATACCCATCAAATAGTAAAAAAGTCAGGATAAAACAAGATTTGAAACCCAACACAGTCTTAAGTGTAATCAGATGTATAATATTAGTTAAGAGATCTGAAATTTGTTCTCAAGTTCCAGGTCCAAGTTCAGTAAAATTAGGAGGAAAAAAATCTTCCTATTGTATCTATTCAAGTCTGTAAAATGTTTATTTATTAAATACTTTTAAGCAATTGTGGGAGGGAGATTAATTAGGAAGTCATCTCACAAGAACATCATATATTGGATGAATGAAGAGTATAGTTAATTTTTAACAGACTGAAGGCATATATACAGAATGAGCAGAATGATGCACAGTTATTTCAAATTTTACCAGTGATTTTTGGTGGCATTAACAACAATAATACTGCGTATCAGACATACTCTGCATTATATGTCAGATATCTAAATGTGAATTGGAGCTCCAAAACTCCTAATACACATCCCAATGCTAAGAGTTTGTATCCTAGGATTCAACAACCAGTTTTTCCCATGGGATAATCAGACAGATATGATCAGAATCAGTGCCTCTCATCCCTTTTCATAAAATGCCATGCATAGAAGATGATAAGACACTTAGTATACAAGAATAGTGGGTTACAGGTTTCTGCCGCTCTAGGATTGAGGGGGATCAACATCTCCACACAATAAAACACATATGTGGTACATTCAATATGCTTTGGTGGCTCTTGCCTAGATGGCTAAACAGCCTCTTAGAAGATGCTAATAATTTTAAGATCAGGTTGTGGAAGATCTTAAAAAATTCAAGATTAACCATTCTGAAAGGGTGCAACTATTCTACTACAGAATTAATGAAATAAGTGCACAAAGCACTTACCACAGTAATCGGCACATGCTGAGTGCTCAATAAATGTTGGCTATTATTATCATCATCATTATTATTAGCTATTATTACTATATTAATTTCCTTCTTAACAACATACTTTTAAATGTCACCTTTCCACATGCTTTCATGAAGGGCCACCATCAGGGCACCTCCTCCGACCCCAAGACATGGTACTTATCTTATCCAGACTTCTAAATACTTCTGAGGATCCAGAATGCAGGCTGAATCTAGCCAAAGCTAAAGAATCTCTCTGAAGCTCCCACATCCATCCAAGGCTGCAAAAATTCAAAAAAATCCATAGAAATCTAAGCCATCCCATCTACCAAAACCCAAGACTACTCCAGAATCTAAGACTCAGTACCTCCTTTCTACCTTCATGTCACCTAGATAATTTCCAGATACAACTGTTATCTTGCTATGAATCAAGACATAAACCTTTTTAGTTATCTATAACCAGTATCCTCATATATTACACTTTATGTTTTCAGTCATCTGATCTAATCTCCCACTAAAGAGATTTTCCCTTCCAAACCTTTCACTTGCTCTCCTGAATCTGATCTCCCAATTAACAACTCTCCTTCTTTACTAAATTTTCATTTTACTTATAGGTCTTACCTGGTCCTATACTAAGTCCTTTACTTAGGTCCACACTAAGTCCTATCAAAGACCTCACTTCAACATGGGCTCCTTGGCTTCTTTTGTGTGGTGAACCCCTTCTGGCTCTTCAGTGAACCCTGTTATCCAACCCCTCTCAGATTTAAATGCAGAAAGGAAAATACAAAGGATCATAGAGCAAACCAATTGCATTGAAATGTAGTTATAAAAATAATGAAGAAACAGAATTATGATATAGAACATATATGCTTTTTAATTAACACATTAGACAAAAAGATCTAGTGACAGGTCTAATAATTATCATAATTTCAAAGTTATATTTCCAGAGTATAAAGTGATGGGGGAAATTTATAACTTTTATCTGTGGCAAGTCACAGGTATTGCTAGTATTATGGGTTATAGCGTATATTCATAATTGAAGGAAATGCTGAATACATTTGTTAGAGGTTAAAGAACATAAAGATGTTAACTCTTCCTCCATCAAGTTCACATAGCAACTGATTAATTCCTATAAACTGTAAAATAAACTCAAAAAGTATATACACAATGTTTCTAATGAGGCAAGCAGTTTGCTTGGTGCTTCTAAAATTTGAGAAAACACAAGACAGAAACCCCTAAGGTTTCACAATCTATCTAAGGAAACAAAACTTACATATATCACATAGTAAGAGCACTGAACATTTGTAGAAAAACAGACTTAAATTTGTATCCCACCTACATTCTACTATAATAAGGACTTGGCCCGGTCATTTACATCTACTTCTAAACTTCAGTTTCTTCATCTCTAAAGTAAGTATTATAATACCTGTTTCACAGAGTGTTAGGCAGATGGCTTCATAAACAATACCTATCATTATTACTTTAAAGCAATACAAGCACATATCCAAAAGCATATACCAAATGCTATGTCTTTGATGTATCACTTACTAGCTACAAAGCCTGAGACACATCATTTGACTTCTACTCTCATTTTCCTCAACTAAAACAGAAAAGATTTTTATCTTCCAGTATAATGTTCAAATGAGATACCACATGTAAAAGAACTTACAAACTATCAAAAACGATCAAAACATAAGAAGTTGTAAATAATGACTGCTGAAATGACATGATGGTTCAAATTATATTTGTACATGTACTTTTTCTATAGTACTTAAAATACTACAGGTAAGAAGGCATGAAATCAAGAGCTTCATGAGTATAAGTAACAAAAAAGAGACATTCAAAATGAAATCATTTCTTTTATAAATATAATCTTAAATTAAAATTCAAAAGACTCATCCACAAACTACAAGAGAACTCAAGAAAATGTCCAATATAGTTACCTATCATTAACACAGAAGGTATTATCATACTCATTTTATACAAAAGGTAGCTTAAAAGAGGAAAGTAAAATTTACCTGTGCTATGGCACTATGGATTATACACAACAGATTTTAAAACCTAACCCCTGCAATCCAGTAAAAATGCGGACTTATTTTCCTTGTTAAGTTATGAGCAAACTGACTTAACTTTGGCCGAAGCCAAATTTAATGAATAAGCTATATTCACTATAAATGAGAACGACCATATTTAGATGTCAGTGCATGATCTGGAGATTATCTGCTGGTGAGTTAAATCTTGCTTTTGTTCCCGTCCACTACTGTGAATGACTGAGGGCTGACTATATTTAGAAATTATGTTGTTTAAGGATAAACTTGTTTTTTAAATAAAGCAAGAGCTTTCAAATATATCACTGTAGAACATAAATGTGAAGTATTCAAATACATTTTTTCTTTTCAGAAGAATTCTAACAATTTATCCCAACCAGGTAAAGAAATATCTGTGCTGAATCACCACCAAAAGAAAGTTACATATCACTCAAGTGGTTTATTAAAATGATTTTTAAAGAAAATATCAAACTAAAAAAACTAAAGTTAACACAAGCTTTCAGTTTCAGTTTCCTTATATAATTTTTTTAAAAAGCTTATCAAGAAAATGCTGGGAAAAGGCTGGAAAATAAAAACACTGCAGAACACTATTTATATTTTTAACAGAAAAGTGAGAAATATGAAGTTATCTGAATATTAATATCCTAAATATCAAATGAGTTAGTGAGTATCTTCAATCATTTGAAAAGCTCTAATTAACATTTTGCCTGAACGCCATAAAACTAACCCATGAGGGTCAAGTAAAAAAAAACTTTACAATCAGAAGGCTGATGATAGAAAAGGCTGGAAAGAAGTGCAATTTCTTGTCTTCAGGCAGCTGAAATGTTTAACTGATTCATAACAGACCTGTTTTCTTCCAAATTTTTAAGGAAGAAACCATTCAACTTCCTAACAGACTTTCATTCACACTTTTTCTAGTGAATAATACTAGAGGATTAAGAACTATAAAAGCAGTAGACATTTTCCTTCAAAGAAAACTAATCACTATAGGAAATGCACCAAAAAGTTCAAATAAAAGAACTTTAAAGAGAGAGAATACTTCATTTTGCATGACTAAGCAATTAGAAGTTGAGTAAGTACTTTAAAACCATAAAATCTAAATTTATTGTATGAAAATATAAGGTATTTTCACTGCTTGTACATTTGAAATGTAAGATCACAGAATTGTTAAAGCTATGCAAGAGTCTGTAAGAAATGGGTGGTCTGCATACTGGGGAAAGAATTACTCATTAGTGCGAAAGAAGAAACAACCAAGAGTTAAATTTATTCAAAAAATCTGCTTCTTCATAAATTGTCATAGGTAAACAGGACATAGATTTTTATATACAATTACTTATTATAGCCAACAGAAACTGTATTTATAAAAAGTAACATAGCAAACAGCCCAATTCTAAAACTAGTTTCCCTCTTTCAGTAGTCTTCACTAAGACCTCAGATATTCTTTTTGCCTAGTGGAAATATTTGACTCAATGAAATGAACAGGCCAACTCTTAGACTGGCAAACAATGACAATGGAACTCTTCGTTCCAAAAGAGGAAGTTTTCTCCCAAATCAAAACATGAGATTCTGGGTTTTATTATCATTCTTTAATCTTTAATCTCAATTTTAACATAATACTTTCAAAGGTATGAAATAAAGATGGAAATTAAAACCTTTAAGACTTCAACTTTCCTACCTACTAAATAATACATCCTAAAGGAAAACAAATAACGTTAAAAACACTAGTTTTGAGGGGCATTACAAATACTTTAAGCTAAAACACTTGCTAAGTAAACATATGCCTTAGGTAGCATTTTTCAAATAGTACTTTGCAATCTATTAGTGGGTTATAAAATTAGTTTTATGTGTTTGACCAACATTTTCACACACACAAAATAAAATTTAAAGAAGAGAAAATAACCATAATATACTATCTTAAGTGATTCATCAGTATTTGGTTTTAGAATGTTACAACTTCAGAGCAACTGCTAACCCTTCCATAAAATAATCAAGGTAATCAAATCACTATATTTCATAAAATTTTCTAAGAAACGTTCAAATGAGAAAATATTTAGAAATAACTGTCAATTATAGATTTATAAAGTAGGGGTCAAAGAGTAAACATTTTGGGTTTTATGGGCTCTGTGGTCTCTTTAACTACTCAACTTTGCCTTTGTAGTGCAAAAGCAAATACAGACATTACGCATGACAGTATTCCCATAAAATTTTATTTAAAAAAAAAATGAGGACCTGCAAGATTTGGCCCGCAGACTGTAGTTTGCTGATTGATGATATAAAGAATTTATTTCTATTCCAGAAAGCTAAAAATCTTACCTATTTTAATGAATCGACAAGGAAACATCTGTTCATCAATTTTATGCTTCAAGGTAAATGTTTCTTTGTTATAATCATTCTTTAAGCCACTGTGGAAAAAAAATAAGGTTATCAAATTTAGTTTCATAATACAGCAAGCACACTAAAACAGAGATTAATATCATACTCAGATTTTAAGGTTCAATCAATGTTCAAAATATATGACAAAGACAACGTAAAGAAGTAGTGAACATGAGAATATGGGATAAAACTTGTACATTCACATCAACTGCATTGTAACTGTACTCTCTTAATTACACGAGGGTTAATGAAAACTGTTCGCTGTTCATTAAAGAGTGTGACTACAATACATGAAAATGTGTGACAAGACTTAGTGTCCCTAATGTATAATTAAATATAACATAAAATATTCAAGCAGTAAGAAGAAAATTAAAAAACAATTCACATTCGTACGTTACAACTTAGAGTCAAATATTGAATTTTTCAGAGAATTAAGTTATTTAATCTGACTGAGATGCCAATGTTCCTTTTATAGCTCAACAAATTTTCAGACAACCTTATTCTATTGGTTTAACAGCATCCACTTTATCTTATATAAAAATAAACCTGTATCATCTCTCTATTTAAACAACTAGGACTGACACAAGTATTTACAGTGAAGTCACTTACCTTCAGGTTGCCTAATGTTCTGAAATACTTTCATGATTTAAATCAAATGCAGTCTAGATATAATATTTACTTATATAAAGTATTGTGCTAAAGGGACATACAATGTCACAATTACATTCTAAAATTA